AGCAGATTCTGCAAGATCACAACAGTTTGCAAAAGTCTCATAAGATGGATGTTTAAAGCGGTGTAGAACCTTAGCCTTAACGTAATTGATTGAACGTTCTTTGACCAGAACTGACCTAGATGTAGCACATCTTCAGTGGTTAAATTACAGCTACTCGGTCTGAGTTCCTGTAGTTTGCAATCAGGCTGCAAAGGCTCCAGAAATTGTCTCAGATTTTCTCCCACACACTTGTTCCATGACAAGTTCAGCCTTTCAAGCTGTTTTAGCATCTGCATTGCAGTAGCTTTGAAACACACACACACACATTTTTTTTCAAAATCTCATCATTTAAAACAAATCAACTTTAATGTTTTTTTAAACTGTATTGGTTTCATACCAAGAGCATTGCATGCATGTGTGCTCAAAGCACAGTTGTTTAGTGGAAGTTTGGTTATCTGAGAAAGAGGGAGGGTTTGCAGAAGATTCTGGCGTGTATCTCCAACACTTTTATTAAACGACAAATCCAGCTCTCTGAGGTCTTTGAGAGATGGAGCTTCCTGGACTGAAAGGGCAAGTTAGGATAACAATACAAACAACTTCAACTTTAAATCAACAGTGATAACATGTCTTACCTAAAGCCAACACATCCTCCTTTGTTAGACAGCACAGATGCATGTCCAAACTTCTCAAGTGTGGGAGGAGAACTAGGTTAGTGGCCAGTGTGGTGAGACCTCCACCTGCTTCCTTATTACACGACAGATCGATGTGCTCTAGCGCAGGGATGAACCTGAGTGCCTGTCCTTTTAACATTTCACAAAACAAACATCTCCAAAATGATTAATGTAACTGAAATGGTTACTTACTGATATTTGAGTCTGAATTTGGAGCTTCCTGGTATATAATTTAATGTGTGTGCTTGTAAGTTTGTAGCTGTGTTGCTAATAGTTGTTTGTCTGGCATTGATGGTCTATTTTGAAGGAATTTTTATCATTACTTTCATACCCAGAACACTGAGGCTGTCTTTACTGAGTCCACATGTGCTCAGTTTTAGGGTCTTCATTCATGGAGCTGAGCCTAAAGAGGAGGTGAAGTTCTCCATTCCCTTGATTGACAGTTTGTTATTGGACAGATCTAACTCCTCCAAACTAGACAACATGGGAAGAGCCTCACCTGTAGAAAAACATTAGTGCTTTTTAAAGACAAATGATAAATATTCACTATATATATTCATATTCAAATTCACAGCTCATTATAGGCTTATTCTGAATGACCTAAAAGCTGAATTCCCAGTTTATGTACTCAAACGCAATGGTGGACTATTATTTTTATATTTTTTATATTTTATATTATTTTTATTTCAAAGTATTTTTACTTTGTTACTGTATCTTAGTACATTTTTAAGAGTCTGTGCTATATCAGAGTATATTCATTTGGGGGGGAAAGCTGGATTACAATAATATATTTTGCTACATTTGAGAAATAAAACATGCCATTGCTAGTTATTTTAAAGGAAAAAATCAAGACTCGACTTTTTAATGAACTAATTTAACCGGTCTGGTTCACAAACCTCTTTTAGTGGTTTATTTGTGAAATCAACTACTGATTGCATCAGTTAAGAACTGATTCTATGATCCAGTCAGAGCAAGTCTCAAGTTAACAAATGACTAAATCTGTCTAGTTCAACTCAAAATGAGCCAAGAACTGTGAGTAATATGTTCCTCAGTTTGACTGCGCTGATTCCTAATAATTCATAATGATGTCATGATCTCTTATCTGACCTGACATTAGACCCCTCACTCCTTAAATAGGCATTTTGAGCTGGAGGAATAATAAATGGTATTAGAAACCTGCCAAGAATATGTCTGAGATATTTTAACCTAAAAGTAATAAATTATATTTTGCATAAAATAAATTATGTTATCTTTTAAAAATAAATATAAAAATATTCAAATAAATATAAAATAAAGCATTTTGTCATTGTGTCTCATTAGTCCAATGTGTAAATACAAATCTTTACTCAAGCAGAAGTTTTTACTAATGTTGTATTTCATCAAAGTATGTATAATTTAATTCTATTTTAGTGCTCAAGTGTACCTAGTCCACCACTGCCCCAAAAATGAAACTTCATAGTCTTCAATGTCATATGAAATCCTTCAGGGGAATAGTTGGAGGTTCTATTCCAATTACCATCATTATATGAGTTTTATACAAGACATGTCTTACTCAGAGCTGTAATGTCTGACTCAGAGAGCTGACAGTGCACCAGGCGGAGTTCCTTCAGTGTGCTTTGAGGTTGGAGGTGTTCTGTTAAGTGTCTGAAATTTTCTGCGCCAACGCCAACATTCCAGGACAAATCTAGCACCTCTGTTAGAGGAATGCAGTCGAGAGCTTCACCTGGAATATCGTTTTTAGAGAGGTTTGAGTTCCCAAAGGGAACCAAGTTCCCAAATATACCTCTCTTAGAATATAATTTTAAGAGAGGTTTGAGTTCCCAAAGGGAACCAAAGAGTTTTGGTTCCCATTGACTACCATTATATTTTTTAACCATACAATGGAAGTCAATAGAACCTGAAACTATTTGCTCAGCAACATTCTTCAAAATATCTTCTTTTGTATTTAACATTCCCATTGACTTTCATTTGTATGAGTTCCATTGAGTTTCAGTTCCCATCGACTTCCATTGTATTATGAAAAAAATAATGGAAGTCAATAGGTTACCAACATTCTTCAAAATGTATTCCGCAGAAGAAAGAATGTCATAGGCCTACATGTTTGTAATGACATCGAGAGTAAATGATGACAGAATTTTCATTTTTGGGTTAACTATCCTTTTAAGTCATAATAAGAAATGAATACTTCCTGTACCAAGACCAGTAAGATCTTGATCTGTTAATCTGCAGCTACACAGCTTCAGCACTCTCAGTTTCCCTACATGCTGCAGATGGGCAGTGCCTTCAGGGAGCCTCCAACCAGATCATTCCAGGACAGCTCCATCACCTCCAGCTGAGCCAGAAATGGCAGTAACGTGGTTGAGGTAACATCAAAACAATAATTGGAGATCCTGACACATGTACGGTCTTGTTATTGTACTGTGGGGAAAACAGCACGTTACAACACCCACCTAGTTCCATCACATCTGTAGCTGTCAGATCACAGTGGCTCAGGCTCAGATTCTGACTGTGAGGGGTTTTCCCAAGCTTCTGAACGAACTGCTTCACCCGACCCCAGCCCACAACAATGCCAGTCTCATCATCTGTGTCACTGATCTCTAAAGGAAAACGAGGGTTCGTTAATCTATATTTGAATCTATATCGTTACGTCTTCTAAACGCACCTAATGCCCACCTTTCAACAAATATTGTTACTGAAAAGTGTTATAAGCAAACATAATTAAAATTATTAATTTACTTTTCCAACAAAGGCAGGGTTTCTGCGGGGCATTGAAAATCATTAAAATTCATTAAATGACCTTTAATAATAGTCATTCAGGACTTCCGTTCAAAAACTCGGGAAGTCTTAATTTCAAACAATTTTTTGTATAATTAATTAATTTAAATTAATGTTTCTAATAGACACATTTTTAACAGAACCTCGAGTAAACTACATGTTATTTTGTTTAGTCATATACAGGTGGGAGCTTTTTCAATTTATTACTCAGAACGACTTAATAGCCTAATATATATATATATATATATATATATATATATATGTGTGTGTGTGAAATCTCCTTCAAGCAGTGAAAGAAGCTTTCGGGGTATCTCTGTTATTTTGATTATTTTTTTAATGGCAGTGGTGGATAATACCATTACCATAGCTTTATTGTAGTATATCTACCATTAAATATCGTAACTATGATGCACACTGTGCATTTTTATTACTAGACAAGTAAATGCAAGTCATTGTATATAATTATATATAATCATTTTTATTATTGTCCCCAACAGCACATTAATATATAATTTCCCATGAGTTAATGTAGAAAGATGACATACAGAAGTTGGTGGGTGATACAAAGTGTCTCGATCACAAGTGGAGGTAGGACAAGTTTCATGTCATATGATACACATAAAAGATGGCACTAGCAAAGATAATTAACATTTTGTACTTGACAACATCATTGTTAAATTATGTCTGGCCTAAAGGTTAGGAAACAATACTTAGTATATCTGTATTTTATATATATATTATATATTTCTTCAATCTCACATGCATCTTTAAGTAATCTGGAAACTGACAAAAGGGAAAAAAATCATATAAAGAAATATCATAGCAGCAGCACAGAGATATTTATCAGTCATATGCCTGACTGACTACTCCATCCACTTCTATACACAAATACACAACCTATAGCTTTTCTATGTATATATCTGTATGTGTTTGTATGAGGTAGCAACTATTTAATTTACCTTAACTGTTAAATTTTGGATATAAAAGCAATTACAGATAAACAAGCTGATTGTCAGTTACAGCAAACAATAGCAATACATACTTTTCTTTCTCACACATAGAAGAATAACACATCTTTCTCTGAGCAAAGTACATATAGACCTGTTTGTCTAAATAGTTTATAGAATGTAAAGTACAAGGACCATGTCATATACTTAAACTGTAAATTTTGTGGCAATGAGTATTATAACATTTAGCATAACTTTTAAAATCTATAATTTTCTTGTTTTTTTTTCCCTGTTTGGTGTTAAAAGTCCTTGAAATGAGAGAAAAGAATTCTGGTGGTCATTAAGAGAGGCAAACATTCACTGTAAATGGCATAGAAAACATTTTCTGGACTTCATACCACAGTGTAAACATAGTATATTTATCCATATTTTATGAAAGTACACATGCATATATTTTGTACATTCATAATGAGCATAACCTACATAAAATATAAACAAAATATGGCAAAAAGAATGTTAAATATGTATAATTTGACATAAGATTATTCACATAACATTTATCCATAAACAATAAATATTTTAGAAACAATATCAGTATTTTTAAACAATTCCAATATTTAAAAAAAAAAAAAAACATTCATTAGATATCAGTAGTCCTAGCACTGATAAACCAAAACGGATGGTGTTGATTGTACACTTGCAAGGTTAGTGGTTTGAATAATGATTCTAACTACTTAATTTGTATCAAAACACCAAAAATCCTTATTCACATGTCCAAAAAAATCAGTTCAACTTAATCGCTACTCAACAAATTCACAGCATTAAACCCAAACCTACTCAGGACAACCCGAATTGTATAATTGTTCCGTAGAACTGCAATAAAAACAACTTTGGCATCCAACGGAGACACCATTCCAAAATGACTCTTGATCACAGAAATCAGATCGCGGGGTTGGTGACCGTAGACCTTGCTAAGGTGTCGGGGACATGTGTGTGTCGCTACAGGCTGAAGACATGGGACTGTCCATTGAAGCAGGGTGGGCGGATTCCCTCATCTGATGTTTGAGCTCAGAGATGGTTCGCTCCAGCCTCTCTCTGGCTTCTCGTTCTCTGCGTAGCTCTTCCTGCAGCTCCTCGCGGTCTTCCTCAGCGCGGTCCAGCCTCTGACGCAGCTCTGATAACTAAACACAGGATGCTATTGGTCAGTTAAAGTGATGCACTTACAACTATAGGGTTTGATATCCAAAAGGTATAATATTAGATTTTTTAAAAATAGTTTGTTCTTTTTTTTAAATGTTAATATAAATATATATTGTACTGTTCAAAAATTTTGAGTCAGTGATTTATTAATTTATTTTTTAAAGATATTAATACTTTTATTCAGCAAGAATACATTAAATAGAAAACATTTTTATTAAATAGATAATATTTTTATTTCAAATAAATGGTATTTCTTTGAACTTTCAGTTATTTTAAATAATAATATTACACAATAGTACTGTTTTCTTACTTATACTTATATATACTTATACTTCTAGAAAATATATATAAATGTTTATAATATACTATATAAATATAAAATATTTTTTTATCCCCATCATTCATTTGGAGTCAATAAGATTGTCTTTTTTATTTAAGAAATTATTTTTCGAAATTACTTACAATGCTACCAAATATTTCTATCTTTAAAAAATGCTGTTCCTTTGAACTTTCTATTTATTAAAGAAACGTGGAAAAATATATCAAGACTTCCACAAAAATATTAAGCAGCACAAATGTTTTCAACATTGATAAGAAGAAATGTTTCTTGAGCAGCAAATCAGCATATTAGAATGATTTCTGAAGGATCACGTGGCACTGAAGACTGGAGTAATGATGCTGAAAATTCAGCTTTGCCATCACAAGAATAAATTACATTTTAAAATATATTAAAAATAGAAAACTGCTATTTTAAATGGTAGTAATATTTCACAATATTACTGTTTTTACAGTATGTTTGATCAAATAAATGCAGCCTTGGTGAACATAAGAGGCTTCTTTACAATTAAAATTAAACTTTGAAATAAAATTTTATCCTAAAAAATTGTATGAAAAGAAAGTATGACAAATTATGAACCTGATAAGGACTTGTGTGGATGTTTGTGATTGGTCGGTACCTGTTTGGCATAGATAGTTTCCTGGTGTGGCTCAGTAGCCAGCTCTTTGCATCTGCAGCCTTGCTGCCTCAGCTGGTCAAGTCGGGACTTTAACTTTCTCTGTTCCTGCTGGACTTCACCGAGCCTCTGAGCATGTTCAGTCTGAACCGCCTCCAGCTCCCCATGTAGGTCACAGCGGTCTGTGGCTTCACCTTGACGGAGAGCCTGCAGCTCCTGTTCACAAGTACCAGAGTGAGAAAGAGTCATAAGATACTCACACGCACCTTCTGGCAAATGAAAATGTGGTGCTAAAAACAGACATTAAGTGCGCTGTATTGTAATCTAGTCAGGGTAAAAACCTTTTCAAGCTGCTTCTGTCTGCGTAGTGTTGACTGAAGTTTGTCATGTTGCGCGCTGTACATCTGAAGAAGCTCCATCACTATGCCGTCCTTACTGTGCTCCACAGTCACACCAACCGACCGCTTATAAGCTGCCATGTCTACTTTCTGCCATTCGTCTGGACTGGCATCATCTGACTGGCCATGTTTTTCTTGCCCTGTGTCAGTTAGATCTCTCATTAAGAATATGTACGTTTATTTGTGCAATGGGACTTATGGTGGAAGCAAACTGACCTGCATAGGTGGGCATCTTTGGGTCAGTGTCATGTGCTTCCTGATTCTTTTCATCCTGAGTATCGCTGAGCGTCTCTGTTCCTGGAGACCCCATTTCCTTTCCAGGTACATACCCAGGATGTTGTGCCAAGCCATCACCTTCCAGCTTGTCAGGCATGTACTGGTACCAGCTGGGGAGGAAAACAATAAGAGAAGTTACTTGCTGTTTTGTACTAAAACTACATCCAATGGCAGAATTACTGCAGTAATATTAAAAATAACAAAAACAAAATTACTAAATCCTTAACTAAAATAAAATATACAAATAAAATCTAATTCAAAACAAAATATACAAATAAAATCTAATTCAAAATATAAACAAAAACTAATAATTATCTCATCTGATGCTAAAATAACACTGCTTATAAAAACATGCTTCTAAGTCCAGATCATATTTCACCTCAAAATCAACTGAAAAAAACAATACGAAATTATATTTTACAGACAGCAATGCCTATTTTAGCATAATTAAGATTATTTACATTGTGACATTATTTTCATTACAATTAAGCATATTACACCAAATTATACAATATTTATATCACAATATCAATTATGTATTTATTTATTTATTCTTTATTATCTCTATTTCAGTGTAACAATTTTGTTTAATTCAAACCTTTGCATTTTAATTTATTTACATTTTTTATTTAATTATTTTGATAATTATGAGGTAATGACTCACCAATGAGAACAATAAACCTTTTAATTTGAATTCATTTACATTTATTTTATTGAATTGAATTGCATTTTTATTCTTATTTTGATAATTATGAGGTCAAGAGAATGAAAACCGAGAACAATAAAAATTACAAATAAACTCAAAAAGTAAAGCATCCACTGAATTGCAGTAATTCATTATTTTACAGTAAGGAATAATGTAAAATAATGTCACAGTACAAAAAAATATTTTTCTTTGTGCTTTGTATATTATAATAATTTTTTTGGGGGGGGGGAGAAATATGGTCAGGATCAGATTTTTCTGATATATATTGAATAATGTATATTTGCGAATGAACTGAACCTTTGCCACATCAAGTCAACATGACCAGGGTCCTCCTTAAGACTGGCAAGCAAGCGTGAGTCGAACACAAAAGCAGGTGAAGATACTCCCTGAAAGAGAGAGATAAAAAGAACTCGTTAGCCTGGTTTCACTAACAAAAAGGGATTGATTAACCCATTGTGTGTTAATGCAGCTTGCTCTTAACGTATTAGCAGTCGCATTGAGTATTCTCACTTAGTGAACATTGATTTAATCCCTTTACTTGCTAAAGCAGCCTCCTAAAGCACACCAGTATGAACCGTGTCACTTCTGCACACCTTTATGCACACACACATTTAGTTCTTATGATTCATTCTATTCCAATAGACAAGCCAGATCTAGAAATATGTAAATAAGACTTTCTATCATTGTGAAAGCTCATCCTGGATTAACTCTCTCATTCTGACATGTTTTACAGGCCGTGTGGTGATGTTGCACTCCCTGATATAGGACAGAAACTTGAATCTGAATACTGGAGGAAATATGGATGTTTCTCCTATCAACAGCCGGTAACGTAAGCTGCTTTAAAGTAAATAGGCCATCTGATCTATCATAAAGCCTCAGCGACCAGCTTGCACACCACATGCACGCTTAGAGCATGTGGACCTTTAAAAAAATATAAACCACACACCCACACAATGTAGACAAAAATTTCCTTTATGGTCATAATGTAACAATTCACACGTACTCAAAATCCCTCCGCTGTGGTTATGAAGCACGGCCCTGAAACTGTTTTTCACTCGATACGTGGTTCTTCTATGGAAATAGAGCCTTTCTAAGCATACGTTTGAAACTGTATACCAGTGCTAGGAATGGTTTGGTGTATGTCTCTTAGAAACAAAACAATTCCTTGTGTGTAAACATACTTGGTAATAAAGCTCTTCTGATTCTGATTCTGATTCTGATGTGAAGTCATGTGCGAGAGCTCCAGACGCCTCTGGTTGGGGGAAGGGTGTGCTGTCTGGGCCATCACGTGGCGCTCATGGCACGAGGACTCTAATCTACGCTGCTATTTACGAAGTGACATGAGCAGGACGGTCACTCTTAATGCACTACAATTACATGATTCATTTGTGACCTTGTGAAACAGCTCAAATGCACCAGATTTGACTATAAGGTTCAATTATAGTCAAATATCAGTTAGTCTTCCTGCCTTGACCTTAAAGGGGTCATATGATGCGATTTAAATTTTTCCTTTCTCTTTGGAGTGTTACAAGCTCTTGGTGCATAAAGAAGATCTGTAAAGTTGCAAAGACTAAAGTCTCAAATCCAAAGAGATATTCTTTATAAAAGTTAAGAGTCAACCACGCCTACCTAAAACGGCTCGTTCTAACACGCCCCAACATACCTACGTCACTCTGTGGGAAGATTTGCATAACGCCACCCAAATGTTCACGCAAAGAAAGAAGGCATAACTTTTATTCTCACTGTAGTTTTGTTGCCGCCGCCATGTCCTGAAGACGCTGTGTGCTTCGTTGTGAAAGCGAAACTACTTTGTTTGGTCTTCCAAAAGAGGACGATATCTGCTTCGTCATGCCTAGAACTGATCCGTGCTGGTCGCTGAGGAAATACAACAGTATGTGAGGGGCGTAACATTTCAGTCTCACGCTTGAGGTATTCGGCCAATCACAACACACTGGATAGCTGGCCAATCACAGCACACCTCGCTTTTTCAGACCATGAGCTTTGTAAAAATCGACGCGTTTCAAAAAGGCGGGGCATAGAGGAGAAACAATAATGTACACTATGTGGAAAATAATGTGTTTTTTTTTACTTTAAACCGCATAAACACATTTCATTACACCAAATACACAAAATAATGTTCTTTTTAGCAGCATCATATGACCCCTTTAACATTGTTATTGTCACATGCACATTACAGTGTGTTTATGTGCATTTGGTTCCATATATAATCATAAAATTGTGAAGACAGACAGACAGACAGACAGATAGATAGATAGATAGATGGATAGA